TACTCATCATATATATATATATATATGTAATAACCTACTAGACTTTTTATCATATATGAGTAGTTGTGTTTGTGTATTGTACGAAGTATATAATTAATATATACTCCGTACAACATACAAGTATATTGTTTATCAGAATCCAAATCGTACAATAGATTATGTTGTAACGTTGGATTGATAAGATATTAATTGTGCGTACTCCAATTTAGATTGTAAATTTTCTTATTTTCTTTCTTTAAAAGGTAAATTAAAGTTTAGTATTGAGACAAGGCTGTCCTAATTTTTGTGTTATTTTCTTTAGCGAAAATTGGCTTTAGTTACTTATTATTCTCAAGTGTTGTTACTAATTGTGTATATAATTTTCATTATTGTAGCGGAAGTTTCATGCATGCAGGTTGACCTGTTGTTTGCTTGCTCAATTCTTGTGTTTGGACTTTAGAATACTTTTAATTTATGGTTCACAAGTGATACAAATGCATTTATTGCTTTACGTTGCATGGAAATTATGATTGATGAGGACTCTCCGGCTTGTTCTATATTTTAGCTAGCTCCAACAAGCAAATTTCGATACATACCAAAAACAAAACATACCTTATTGTAGATGTAGTTACAAAATATAATGATTTAAACGAGATCTAATATAAAACACACCTAATATTATAGGAGAAAAAAATATATAAAATGTATTTTTCCTAACTATATTGGCTAATCTATCTTTTTATAGGATTCTTTTCCGATGTTGAATTGTGGTTTGATTATAGTCAATTGTCATATTCTTTGTTGACATTGCTATTTCCATATTACAAATTATTAACCACCATATTGGATGTTTCCAGGAAGATTAAAAGATAATTTACTACTACTGTGTCAGATTTTATTTAACTTGGATAAGTGTTTTGGATACCCCTATATGCTACGTTTCATTCATCAACACATATATATGTATGTGTTTCACTTTCATGGTATATATGTTGTAAATGGATTTTGTGTAAAGAAAATGGTGCAATTAAATTACTAGTCCAAGATGAGGAAGGGAGAAACTAGTATATTAATCCTATCAAGCTAAGGTTATAATGACTTAGATTAATTATATTTTAATAACATTAAACTAAAAGTCAAAGTAAGAATATCAATATGGATTGAAGGGAATACACCGTACTATTAATGTTATCATAAATTTTATCTATGTAGTATATTACTCTATTTTTACTTGAATTTACACGAGCTTAAGCTAAGATACATGTACCACACAGTAGTATTGAAATGATATTTTTTTTTATTTTCCTCTAAGATAAATGTTTTATTTTTAATCTTTTATATGATTAGTAAGAGTTACAACAAGAATTTAAAAATTGGTAAAGAAATTTTCAAGAATTAACTTAAACAATAGAGATATATAAAAGATCATTACACGGTACAGTGTTTTATAAAGTACCGAGACTCCGAGAGTGTGTGGCGCATATTTTTATCGACCTCAAAATACCTAAAGAAAATCCCCAAATTGAAAAATCATTGATTGAAAAAGAATTTTCAACGTACATGAATTTATGATGTGTCGTTTGACTTGATCGAAATAATTTGAGAATTGAGAGTTGAATTTATGCGATTGACTATTAGGCCATAATTGTCTTCATTGAGTCCATCACATAAATTTCACATGTACTACGTACTATTTCACTATATTGCAAACAGAAAATCCAAATTCCATCTCACACATTTGTCTCCATTTCTATTTCTACCACATTAACCTTTTTAGATCTCGTACCAACTACTAACATAATACAAAAATATCTTCTTCGTTTTCTTTACTTATTATGTCATATACTCATATATTCATATTACCTTCGTTTTAATTACGATCTTTTTACGGAGTATATTTGCTTTTACATAGCCTCTAATACATAAATTTAACCATCATGTCTTTATTTACGTATATGTTAAAATTATAATTATATTAATATTTTGAATGACAACTTTAAGACGAACGAATTTTATGTAATACATTTCATATACAATCAATCGTTTCTTACAATTCTTACTTTAATTGACCGTATGAAATAGATGTAAATACCATGCTTACTAAATAAAGTGCATGTTTAACTATTTACAATTTTAATTATTTATAAATAAAATCTATAATAACTTATATTTTAAAAATATGAAATCAATTCAATAAAAAACCAAAATAATTATATATTTTCTATAATATGATTAACAAAATATGGTCAAAATAAAGTACGTAGTTAGTGCAAATATTTGTACTTTGTGATCATCCACCCTAATTTATCAATTGAATGATGGTCCACTCTTATTATCCTAGTGTAACATAAATACGCAATACTAAATGACAATTATAACAACAAAATTTTCCACTAAAAAGAAATAATTATATAAGGTGTTTTGAGTCCTAGTATTGGGCTAAGTAAGCAAGCTCGACCATGGTAACCACCCGTGGTCCGCCACCAAAAGAAGTCAGATTCCAGAACATCCGCCGTACTATCTTCATTGTCTTTCTAATTAATTAATTAAATAATTAATTAATTAACACCACTTAAATATTTAATTAGAACACATGTCTGACGTGGATGTTAATTAGGCCCACTAATAATACTATCTAAAGGGACATTGTTGCATAATCGTGGTTTGCTAATAGATTAGTATATAATTAAGCAAATAAATTAATAGGCAAAAGCAGCTTGTTTTATGGTTAAGCTAACCCCAAAAAATACAAGAGAGAGAGAAAAAAAAATAGAGGTTTTGTGTTTGTGCTTTAGGGTGTTCAATTTAGGGCCTACCACCATGAGACAAAGGTTTTACAATTCAGAAAATAGAAGTTATTATCTAATTTATTTGACAATAATTATAGGGCAAGGTCAAATTTCAATACCTAATTTCTTAAATGCATTGTCCATATAAGTGATATAACTATATTGTATAATATAAAAGTTTAAGTAATTGTAACACTTTTGAGTTTTGAGAATGCATGATTTGGTTAAAAGTTATAGAAGAATTGTTGTTTAGTGAGGGAGTGATACTGCTGCTGATACAGTTGGCTAGATCTAAGTTAGTGGTTAATGACTTGAAATTACTCACCTCAAAGAAAAGTATTGGCTTAAATATGTCCACCTTGCATGTGAAATTGATATCCATGATTTATGGTGCCATAAATCTATCTAGACCTTGCAATATAATCGAGTCTTTGGGTCCGATCATCTTGGATAGATAATTTCAAGTCTGATCTGTGTTCTAATCGAGTTTTGAGTGGGTTGCATAAGATTTTTGAGTTTGATTAAGTTTTATGAATTAGAAAGTCAAGTCGAGGATTGGGTGGAGACTTCAAATCTACAATGAATCTAGTTGTATTTGATTTAATCATTTTAGCTCGAGTAAATCTTTGTACATTTACAGTATGTTTGGGTAGAAAAAGGGGAAGGGAAAGAAGGGGAGGGAAGGGAGGGGAGGGAAGAATGATAAGTTTTCCTTTCGAATCTCTCCATTGTTGTAGAGATCAATTTCTTACAATTTAATCCCTCTATTTCGCTCCCCTCCATTTCAATCTTATCGAGTGATTGACTGAGCAATCAATCAACATCTTTCCTCTTACGAGCATCTTCGAACCTCTCTTTTACCCTTCCTTCCACATGTGTTATACAAATGAAATATAATCCATCCCTCCATCGTCCTAATTCCCTTTCTTTTTCTTCATTTCTTTCAATCCAAACAAAGTATTCGATTGAGTAAGGGGGAAGTCTTCAAGCTAAGTGCATAGGATACCAGAGTATCTAAGGACATCTTCCATTTGTTAGTGACATGATTGATAACAAGGATTCCCCCTCAATGTAATATGGGTATGACAAGTTGACAACTATTGTTATTAACACATTAGATAATTCTTTTTGTACTTTTTAAAACAACAATTATTAGTGGTAACTACTACAATTGGTAGACATAATTCTAGAAACCTAGTTTTGAGAATGATGTAGTCATTAGAATTTATTTACTAAGTCAAATATAGTAAAAAGATTTTATAAGTTAATTAATATTTAGGTTGGGAAAATAACTGCATTGTTAACAGTATAAAAGAAACGACAATTTCACATCTCTATATCTCTTTGAGCTCTCTAAAAAGCTCTTCACCAAATGGTAGAAAAGAGCGTGATTGTAATTCGTACTAGCTACTACTAGTATGATTTAATCTTGGATTCATTACTAATAAAGATTTTTAATTGATAATATGATAACTATTGGAATTATCATAAGCAAAAACAATAATATGGTGTATATTCTAGTAAGGTTGTATACTATCTAATCATATATATATATATATATATATATATAAAGGGGAGTTCTTTCCTGAGTTTTTAGAGCGCCACATAGGATTTTAATTTTTAAAAAATTATTAGAGCGCTACGCAGGATTAATATTTTTAAAATGCTACAATCGGATTATGCCGCGTAAACACAGTCAAAGGAGAGTGAGTGAATAATGCTAAAGTCAAAACTTGTCAACTAAAAAAAGAATAAATCTTGTGTAAAATGGGTGTACATTAATCTTATTGTAAGATGGTCAGTTTGAGGGTAACTTTAATTATTTTTATGGTAATTTTAACTCCTTAAAGGGTAACTTTTAATTTGTCGTTGGTTTGAATTTTAATGTGTAATTTCTTATAGATTCTTGATTACATAATATAAAAGTTAATATGATTAATCTAATACATATAAGTTTTTTGTAAGATAAAATTTATTATTAGAAATATAATACTCCGTAACTTTTATAGTAAAAAGGGTAACTTTAAATACTTTTAACATAACTTTAACTCATCTTACAATAAATTAATGTACACCCGCCTTTTTTTTTTTTTTTTTTTTTTTTTTTTGAGATTTGTGCTAAAAAATAATAGAGGAGTTTTAAATTAGAAAAGATATAAAATGTTTATTTTTAACCCTAACAACTATATAATATCATTACCCTTAAATCAAGTTAATTCAAACATAATGGATTGTAGACTTGTAGTACAATAAAAGTAAAGCAATTAAGCTAATGAAACAAAAACCTTAAAACAGAGAAATGGTATCACCTCTCTGTTCTTCCACTTCTAGATCCTCCTTATCCTCCTTCTCCTCGGTGGTACGATCCTCTACAGCAAGGTGCAGGTTTCCAATCGTAGGCGCTATCTGTGTTCTCACTTTCGGCTTCTCCAATTTCTACACTCCTTCCAAAACTTGTTTAGCTCACTCTCTCTCCTCCTCTCTCATTCGGTACTCACTTTCTCTCTCCTCTCAATTTTTTCCCCAATTTTTGAAATTTATTTTGAATTTGATTGCTGAAAATTCGGGAAATTATGTTGTATGATTTATTTTTAGGGTTTGATTAATGTTGGTGTTGTTATATTCAGATCAAAGGAGCAATCAAGAAGCTTTAATTCTATAAAAATGGCGGCAACGAGCAATACTGTGCCTAGCATAGTTGTTTATGTCACTGTTCCTAACAAAGAAGCAGGTTTATTTTCTTGTTCATTAAGCCCTTTTTTTTTCGAGTGTCGTTTTCGTCGAATATTGAGATACTTTATTGATTTGCCTGTGAAATTGTTATCGTAGACAGCGCATTTTTAGTTAATCGTGTGATGGAATTGTGTTTTATGTTGTCAATTACACGTATTTGGAGTTGAAATTATGAATTGACGACATTTTATAAGTATAATAATGCTACATTGTTGATTAAATCAAATTCTATTTTAGTCGCGGATAGTTGGATGTGTAACTATAATTAAGGTTTGAAGAGTGAGATATTTTTAATTGATTTCGATATCCTCTCCGTTGTCAAAAAATTGTGTTTATTGCCTTTTGAGATTGTACTCGACTGTCAAATACTTCGTTTCTTTCAAAGGAAACTGATAAAGCTATTAAGGAATTTACGAGAAAATTATACTTGAAAGCAGTTTGATATGAGTAACGATAATTTTCTTTGGTGACCATATAGAGAATTCAACATTTAAATTTGATCTTTAAAGCCTTAGGTAACAGTAATTTAAGAATGAGGGTAATATGTAATATACTTTTATGTAGTATGTTTTTACGGAGTCTTTGTTCATCTGTATTGATCCCCTTGATGAGCAAACTGTCTTAGTAACGTACGTGTAAATTGCAGAAGTGTATGCTTGCTAAGATGATCTAGACTTTCACCATTTAGAATAAATGGATTTTAAAGAAGTTGTATCTTAAAGAAAGCTGTTTTTGGTGCTTCTAAGTAGAAGGTTGCTATGTGTTTCACTGTTTTGGGTGATGCTTTGCCTTAGAACATAGCAGGGATGCATTAAAGATTCATTAACAGGAGCCTAAATTTACATGCAGGAAAGAAGCTGGCAGCAAGCATTGTTAAGGAGAGACTTGCAGCATGTGTAAATCGTGTACCAGGTATATTACATGCATTCTTAGCTCAATTCATCCTAAGCTAAAAGCTACTGACATTCAAATCAACTGTATCAATCATCTCAATCCGTAATCATGTTAAGGACGTGTACTTGATGATTATTTTCTTTTCCCTCCGATATGCTGTATACAATTATTAGTATTATACAACTTGTTGACGTGTAAGGGTAAGTTTGCTGTAATTTATTTGCAATTATATGATCTGAAAGCGACCATGTTTTAATCAGCTGCCACCTTTAATAATTATTTTAGCTAGTATGGTGCATGTTTGGAAACTACTGGCTGATAATCGTTGATCACTGCTGATTTCAATTTAATGATTTGCAACTATAAACAAGCCCTTAAAAGGCGGGGGCTAAGCTACATTTGAGTATACTAATGTCTTGGTTCATACTATAGTGAACTTTGCATTATCTTGTGAGCTTCCAATTGATGTTGGCAAATTCAGATTCCTATTAAAAGATAGGTGGACTATGCAGGTCTTTTCAGCCAATTTCATAGTCACCCTCAAAGCAAAAATTGTCAAGAAAGTCTGAATTAGTGAATTTGTCTAAAGGATTATTTTTCCTCCGCTAGGCCATAGTTCATTGTTTGAAAAAATCATATATGATCAGCTCTGTTATATAATTTGACAAAAAAAATTCGTGAATATCTAAAATGGATAAGAGGAGCTTCAATAAATATTTGATAAGAAAAGAATGAAAAATGATACTACTTCCATTACCGGTATACGTCTTTGGATTTTCTTTTCTGTATACGCGTCACTAGCTAGCCCAATTGATGATGCATGGAAAATGATACTTCCTCTGTTTTCTTTTATATGCAACACGCCTTTTTGACACGCTTTTTTAGGAGTTGATTAGAGTAGGCAAACGAGCGAATTTAACAAAATAATTTTAACACTATAATTAGAAAAGGGTTAGTTACTACGTGTATAAATTATATTGATTATTTTTTCGTTTACATGCTTAATCTCTTCCTCAAAGTGCGTGTCGAAGAGGTGTGTTGTATTTAAAAGAAAACAGAGGAAGTACTATCTTGCGTAATATGCTGTAAGCCCTTAAGTTTATGTTTTGGGAAGTACTGCATGTTCTGTAGCTCCATCCATAGCTATTCTTATGTACTACTTATATTATAAATAATGATGTCCAAATACTTTAGTTACAAGTTATTTCCTCTTCAAGTGTCATTAAGTTTCTTTCATATGCTTTATCTATCGTTTCTCAAGCAAGATCAAGCCCTTAAAGAAGCCGTGCTTTCTAATGTATAAGCTTTCTGGGAAGTGAAACTCTAGGCATCATGTTTCCTTCGTCAACATATTTCATTTGTCATCATGTTTCCGTCTTTTGCTTCAGTAGTGCTTATATTACAAGGATCTATGTCTAAATTGGTTAAAAAGTTGAAGCCATGGACTATGATGATCATCACAAAAGACAATTAATTATTACTGTTAAAGTATAGTTATAATTGCTGTTGTGTAGTTATATGTAATTATACTCCTTTGATCCCATATGAAGGGGTCAATATTCACTCTGTGGAAAAAATATAGGAAATGTAATTTTGACGAAAGATGTGACGAGAAGTGAGGTGTGTGCTATGGACTAGGAATTTCAGAGATTAATATTCAAGAAACTAGGATGTAAGTAGATGAAAGTTTAGATATTTGATTAATGGCTATTTGAAACTAACGGTTAGAAGGAATATAGCTTAAGGCTATAACTCTTTTAAGGAAGATTAAAGCTACTTCTACACTACAAACTAATCTCACAAATCACATGAAAACTACTGTTTCATTGCTACTACTATTTATACCAAGCATTCATCCATACACAAGTACCCTAATAATAAAGAGATTTGTCTTGTTCTGCCACGGTGGCCTTCAGAAAACAGAACATCAGCTACCACTCCCCATAGTGCTTCATCAATAACTTTTGGCCTCATTCTCTATGTTGATTCACGTTGCTTCCCTATTGCAGACCTTGTCCCCCAACATTGCCTTGCTGTCTCTTCCTTCTTTCATAGACCCGGATGGCCTGAGGTTGTGGTTTGACCCGGTTCATTGCAGTGTGGAATGGCTTTGTGAAGATGGGACTCATTTTAGCGAACAAAATTGTCAACATAGGATACTTACATTTACATTGGGACAAGGAGATTAATTTTCAATGGTGATAGATAATACAATTTTAAGTAAGGAAGTTTACAATGGACAAATAAACTGCACTTACCTAGAGGAGCTAAGTAAATTTTCTTCCTTTATGTTGTGGAAAGTTGTACTACTGGAGAATTCTATATCCTACATTTAGCCTGATTTATAGATCTTGGAAGTCATCAACTGATCAGTATGCCAACTCATTTGTAGCTGTTGTTCTTCATCGTTCTGTGCATCACATATTACTCTCACACAGTCCTATGTAATTTAATTGGAACTGGCTGTTTGTGGTAGGAATTTGTTATGATCTTTGTAAGGGACTAATGATTACCTATCGTATAAGCTTATAAATTATAATACAAGCATGCCAAGGGGTTTGGAGTTGGAAGTCCTTTTATACTGGGGTTCATGTCATGTGGGGGGTGGTTTCCACGTGAGTAAATGGACTGCTACTGACTTAAAAATTTGTGTGTTTGTAGGTATTGAGTCTGTTTATGAATGGAACGGAGAGGTAAAGGTCATATCCTATGAATAGAAGTAGAAATTGAAATTTGCACTTCAAGCATGTTCAGCAGGAATATGCTGTTCCTGCCTCTCGTTTTGAAAACTAGTCTTCTCTTTGCATTCACCTTTTGTGTCATTCTTATTTAGCACGAATTAATAATACATTGATACATCATCAATTTATCAATTCATCATGAGCTTACATGATTATTTTGTTTGCAGATACAAACTGATTCAGAGGAGCTACTTATAATCAAAACCCGAGAATCCCTGCTAGATGCTCTGACAGAGCATGTTAAAGTGAACCATGAGTATGAGTAAGTTACCTAGCTCATCATTTTTCCTTCGTTGCATTGCCTATTGCTATCACAATCCATGATGAAAGTATGTCAAAATACTGAATAATAAGGGTTGCTTTCAATAATCATGATCCAATGTTCCCTGGATACGTGTTGTTTTATCATCCATCAGGATATTTAGGAAAGATGAGAATTAGAAATTCTTTTTGTTTTGTACTTTTGTGTGATACCTGATATGCGAGATTTCGCACCTGACTATGGTTGTTGCCTACTTACCTGTGATTATTAATTGAATTCTTAATTTTAGGCTCTGAAGGACATTATTTTTTCATTTATTATTTGAGCAGGGTACCTGAAGTGATAGCTATGCCTATTACTGGTGGAAATGCCCCATATCTTGAATGGCTCAAAAACAGTACAAGGGACTGAATCTCAGTATTAGTGCCAAAACTGTAACTCAATGATGGATCTTTCAGTCTTGTAAATCAAAACAGTTCCCCGTTGACTGGTTATTGTGGCTTTTTAAACCTTATTATGTGGATAAATAAATGTAAACTTTGAAAATATGGAATTGATTATCAAGCCATCTGAATGTATGAACTTCCCTTGCTTGTAATTTCCTTTTGATTAGTTGGTATATTGATATGTTGTTAAGATTGCAGACCTTGCAGTCATGGCACTGCTGTGCCTGAGTCTATAAGGTAATTCTGAGTTTGGTGGGATTATGTGGATGCTGTGCAAACTTGGCCAATTTTTTTAGCACTGAGCTGTGTGCCTGTGCCGCTGTGCACATGGCTTATATCAAGGTCGTGTCAACTGACTTTTCCATTTATTAAGATTAAAATGTCGAGCAATAACTTTCAGGAATGATTTTATATGGTTTATAGTGATCCATTAACAAGGAAGCTACTCCGTATAGTTTTATTTGGAATTGAAGGCTTTAATCAAGTATTGTGGAGTAGAAATTTTTTTACCGAAAGTTTTGCTATTACATTTGTTTGAGCAAAACTTGGGGAACGAAAACCCTCTTATGCTGGGAGGCTGCAGCTCATTAAGACATTTGGTTTTAGCTGTTTATTATGCCTAAGAATTTTTCAAGATGGCAGAGTAGGGCTGCCGAGAGTACTTATGGAATTATGGACAATGATATCAATTTGTCTAAGAAAGCTCCTGTGTCTTAGGAGAATGTATGCCTTCTAAAGTCTGCAGTTGGCATAAATGTAAAGATTTTCATTACTTGGAAAAAGCAGCTGTCACAAATTTATTTGGGCTTTAGCTCGGACAAGCTGTGGGTGAGATGGGTTCAATGGTTTGTCGGATGTCAATCTCTCAGCAACTATGAAGTGGATGCTATATTAGGGTCTTGGATAGAAGCATGCTGCTGATCAGTTGGAGGGGGATGGGATAATTTAGTTAAGGGGCCTTAGTATTCTGTCCTTTAACATGTTCCCAATTTCAGTGGTATTGTTAGCTCTTCTGAACAGGTTGACAGCAGAAAAGGCGGACTTAGTGGAATGTTCTTCTCCCTTATCTTCTGCAGGCCTTTTGATGCTGCTACAAAAAAGTTTAGCATTTTTTTTTATAGTGTTCTTATGCAGCTGTTATTGTGCGGAGCTGTCCGAGTATTCTAAATGTAAGCAAGCAGGTTTACGGCTTATTGAGAGCAAGCTCTTAATTTCTATTCAAGTTAGTAGATACAAAGATCTGATGTCTAAAGTGTATCATACTTGTTTCCAGAGAAACAAAAATTATCTTCAGTGGTCAATGTGTTACACTTACTACTCACTAGCGCAGCAGTGCGCAGGTCATTTTTCGGATGGCTAGCAAATGTATTGAACCTATGGTGCAGCTGTTATGTTTTTAGTGTGTTGCTCAATAGCAGTTGGTTTAGGAGTCCTTTAAGCTTGACTTAGAGGCGTTCTTTTAGGGCCATGAAAATGAAGAATCCTCTTAACCCTTCCTAGAAGGTGTAAGGAGGTAAACTCTTGCGCCATCTAATCTGTATTCTGTACGATCTCAATTTTGTTATATTAATATAATATTTGACTTGCCAAAAAAATAAAATAATTGTTGATTAATTAAATTCTCAATTGTTGTTATAAAATAATGTAATTAGAAGAGTACAAAAAATGTTACATTCCACCAAAATTGAAGGGCTAGTTTAAAAGTATACTGAAAAAAGAAAGCAACTCCATCCATGAGTTATGCTAAATTATTGTGTCTATACGAGTCGAAATTTGAATCAGATCTTTTTCGGATCAAATTGACTCGGCGAATTAGTTTTGGACACCTCATTATAACCGGTAGAACTTCACATTATTTGTCATCTTACTCACATAAAACATTGAAGTATCAAAACTACAGCTTGTTACATTTTACTTCGTAGTACTCATAATATTGGCAAGTTGAAAAATTCGGTGAAACTATGCCAACATAATATCTTCATAATTTAGCTTGTATGCATGACCATAAAAAGACACATAATTTTTTTTTTTTTTTAGAGAAAATCACTTACATAAAATAAGTTTAGATAGTTTTGAGCGTTGACTCGTTGAGGATGACAAAATATTGGTTTAGCCGGGTTACCTTTTACCCATTATGAAGTATTAATTGTACTTAAAGAAACAGTTTTGAATAAATAAAACAAATTTCAAGTGATTAAAAGTTAAATTTAACAACAGGAGTACAAAACCGGCCATACTTAGAATTTTACAAATAAGAATTAAATAAAATACTTCTAGTTTAATTTTTCTTCTCCCAAAAAATGATAAAATGCAACTGCTAAACAAGTTAAAATGCATCATTATACACCTTACTTGTATATAATTAATGCCCCATCCATTAAATTAAATTACCTAGATGGTTGAGCACTTATGATGTCAATTGGACGAGAATGCAGGATTGCCAAACTAAAGTTGTCATATTTTCTTTACAATTAACGTAGGTTACATGAGTTAGGTTTGTATTAATGCTGGCATTCAACCCATTGATATAAATGAGTCTCTATTTGTTGAAGGATCAATAGTCCACTAACATGGTATCAAGAGACAGCGTGACACAAAGGTATCAAAAGCCAGCGTGACACAAAGGTCACAGATTTGAATCTCATCCACCTCTCTTTTCAAAGTGGAATATTAAACGCTGGGTATGGTGGGGTTCATGCTACATCACACTTCAAGCCCAATAAGCTCTCATGTGAGGGAGCGTAATAGAGTATATAAACCAATCATGGGCTTTAACCACCAGTTTAATCTTTTAATTGAAGTCCAGGATCGGTTTATATACTCTATCACTATTCTCTTTAATTTAGAGGTGATTATGATGAGTCTGACTTGATTTTTGCAGGCTTTGGGTAGAAAAATCTGATCATAAGTCGAGTTTGATATGGCTAGATTTTTTTTTTTTTTTCCTTTTTACAGCCTTGGACAAGGGGGTACTAATGTACTGTGTTAGTTGTTGCGGTAAAGCGTGTGAATTGATTGGGCTGCTCATATAACAGAGGTTGTTGCTATGCGTTATGGTTTGCAACTCATGCTTTGTCTCAGACTCTCAGATATCAAAGGTTTGGTTGGAAATCGATGCTCTAAGCATTGTGTAGGCTGTTGTTACTTGTTAGTCATTCCACATAAGGTCTTGCACTCTTGCTCCTACTCCGTCCGTTTCGTAATTATAACTGTTTGGTTTTTGCACTATTCATATGTTATTTTGACTATATTTTTTTTTACCAATAAGTAAAATATTTTTAGATAAGTCTATATTTTCTTACCAATATGCAACATGTATTGCCATGTAAAATATTTTTAGATAAGTCTATATTTTTTTACCAATATGTAACATATATTGCCATGTAAAATATTTTTAGATAAGTCTATATTTTTTAATATGTAACATATATTGCCATGTAAAATATTTTTAAATTAGTCTTTGACAATTAAAGTGTTACTATTATTATAAAACGAAGAGAGTACTTTTTCTAATTTATGTGATAATGATGATGATTAGGATAAGAGCCGAAAACACCATTATCTATCCAAATAAAATTTGCATGAATTTGTTCTCCCAAAGTGATGGATCGTTTCCTATACAGATTACTCCCTCTGTCCCTTTATTAAAAGCCTATTTCTAATATTTATTACTCACATAATAAACAAAAATAAACTTCTAATTTAGGGACGGAAGGAGTAACAGTCAAATAAATCAAAATGCGTTTTCCAATTTATAACAAGTTCCAAAATTCTGTTTTTTTTTTTTAATTTTTTTTATTTACAAGTTCCAAAATTTGTTGAAATCCCCTGAACAATTTATAAGCTACTCCGTATTTAGTGTTCATCATATTGTTGGTTGATTCTCTCTCCTCCTACTCACTCTCCCCAAAGTAAAGCTTCAATCTTTACTTTTTTATTATGTTTTTTTATTATTATTTCCACCATTTTCTTCATCATTTTACTTGTGTTGTTAATTTAATTATAACATTCCTATACTATGATCATTATATTTTACCAAATTAAATTTGAATAACATTAATCTAACAAAATTTGGGTGTATAATATTTACTTCATATTGACACTTTCAGATACTATCACTGCTTCGCCGCCACTCACCACCCCTTTTCAGGTAACCTAATTTTATATGAATAATTTTCAATTAATAAATTGTTCATTGTTTTTTGCTGCCTTTTTGATATGCACGATTAGTATTATATTTCATATAATTGAGAAAATTTCTTCATCATCACTAAATTTATTGGAAGAACTAAAGCTAAATATAATTGGGTGTATGATATTTATAACATATTCTTATATTAGAATGATAGAATTTGGATGAAGACATATAGGAGAGAAAAATTCAATTGGGTAAAAAAAATTTTGAATTTCTAATTTGCTTTACATTGTTAATTTTGAAGAACATAAATCTAATAGAATTTGGGTGTATGATTTTTAGCTAATATAATTCTATCTTTCTATGTTAAAATGATAGAATATGGGTGAAGATAAGTAGGAGAGAGAATTCAATTGGGTAAAAACAGTTTTGAAATCATAATTTGCTTCACTTTGTTTAGCAATTCCATCTCTTTTATAGTTTATTATACCATTTATTATGCAAGTTTAGTGTTGATGCCATTGAAGATTTATAAGAGAATTTTATGAATTGAACTCACATTGCTTTCTCTCTTGAATTTTACAATGATCATTAACTTAGAAGGCGTTGCTTGACGTAGATTGGTTGTGATGATTCGAGAAAATTAATATTGTGCTGTTTTCATTTAATTTTTTTGGGATTCCAGAGTTAAGGCTAATTCCTCTGAATTTTGATAGAAAGCTACTGTTTTATTTTTGAATAATATATACTACGTATTTTTAAGACTTTTTTGTATGATAAATTAATAATTTTGTGAAATTTTCTTTATTGTGAAAGAATTAGTTGAAAATTTTCAACTGTGGAATTGCTAGATTTGAATTTCTACAATTTCCTAAACATTGTATTTGGAATTGAAAGTTAGAATTGAAATAAAGAATTCAAAATTAAATAGATTTTGTCAATATCCATATGCAACAAGGGTGATTTAAGCTAGTTCTTCAGTCAAGTCCTCATTTAGGAACTCATTATTTTGCTGGTAAAGATTACAAACTTGTCGCTCTTTCCAATTTACATGCCCTTATTTAAGGATTGTGTGTGATTGTATTCATTGCTCTTCATTTTTGTTTATTTTTCCAAGTATTAGGAGAATTTCTCGTGTTTGTAGCAATGCAACAATATATGCATGTTGTTGTCTCTCTCTTTTTTAATTTTTGAATGTCAATGATTTGATCTGTTAGATATGTTTGCCTCAAGTCACAAAGTGTCAGTTTTCAAATTATGGAATTTGTCTTCTGATTACTAAAATAATATTCATCCACTTTTATGTGATCCTTTGGTTAGTGGACATGATCTAATGCTAATATCTTAAGTATATACCACATTGGAGCAAACTAAACTGCTTCGATTTTGGAAGCCTTCTGCCAGCTGCGACTTTCAAAATTACCAACTTGTCTAGCAGCCAGTGTACTGGTTCATCATAGCAACTGCTGTGATATGGGGCCAGGAAGAAGTGATTTCTAAGGGAACTTTAGTTGTTGTAGGTCAATAGGTGCCTATAAACACATCGCTGGGAAAGGGATTGATATATGTTCCTGCTCAGGGTCCTACTGACTAGTGAGCAATTGATCAGTGGGAAGTAGCACTATGGTTTTCTTATTGCCCATGGACATGTTTATGCCTATCTTGGTTTGATTTATGTAGATTGCAATGAAAATTTATGCAATTTTTACGTTTATAAACTCAAGTGTCCTAAAATTTCATTTTCTTGTCTACAGAGTGGCTGAAAAAAACCCAGAAGTCCATGTCTTCAAATGGCAGGTCAAATGGCCTAGAAGAATCATTCATGGCGGAAGTTGATAAGTTTTTTGACACTGCGCCTCCTCTCAAAGATCGTTTGGTCATAAGCCAAAAGTTAAAGGAATTTATTGTGCACAACTCTCTTGCATCCGGTGAGTTACTGTTTGTTAATTGACACAAATGTGCTTACCATGGCTACAACTTTAGTTATTAAGGATCACAATTTCCTTATAGGAAATGAAGCCTCTAAGAGAAAGATTGTATGTATAACCTCTGGTGGCACGACTGTTCCCCTTGAGCAAAGATGTGTTCGTTATATTGATAACTTCAGTTCAGGCTATCGAGGAGCTGCATCTACAGAGTAATGACTTGTGCCATACTGTAATTAGTGCTTTTGAGAGGTTTTTTATTTGTTAGTGGTGAGTTGTGACAATATGTTTTAGCTCACAGGTACTTTCTCAAGGCTGGATATGCTGTTATCTTTCTCAACCGGAGGTAACTATTCAAAAATTTCATGCAATCTATCTAAAGTTATACTATATTGAAGCCATTGTGTGATGATTGGTCCAGAGGAACCTGCCAACCATACTGTAGATCTCTTCCTGATGACCCGTTGCTTGAATGTTTTGAATCAACTAATGAATCAGTCCAAGGTTAGCCTCTCCCCACCTATAATTTTTATAGCTGTTGTCTGACTCTATAGTGGTTCCTTTTTTTTTTTTGGGCCAAAAAATCAAGAAAGAAATTTATTAGTGGGCAATTAGTTTATGCTTGTCTGACAATTTAAAACCTGATTTGGGCCATACGATCAACAAGAAAAATTACAGCCCTCTAGATATGCTTTTTCCCTGTGGACCTTCCGATATGTGTTCATAACACTGGCAAACTAGCTTCCTGGGAAGACTGAAGATTCCTGGAGAAAACATAATACCTGAATTAATATTATCAAAACTTGTTAGAAATTGGAATCATCATCCTAATGACCTTATCTAGCTGCCCTTTACCACAGAAGACCCTTGCACCGGGAAAGAAATCCTAAAGCCAAAGAAATGGGATCTCACTGTTTCTGTGGTGGTCTAAGAAGTAAAGCTGGTATTTTTTTGTTGACAGTATGATTCTTGAAATCTTTGGGAATTCCCAAGCTGAATTCTGTTGTTATTGGATAAGTTTCGCCTATTTTTGCTAGGTGCCATGGGGGGTTTGGGGAGAAAAGGGGGGTCGGGGGGGGGGGGTGGGTGGGTGGGGGGGTGGGGGGGGGGGGACGGGGATCAACTTATAGCGCAAATGGCCAAATGCATTATTATTTGATCGATCCTTGTCCAACTTTGCCAGTAGAATAGATGGTTTCTTTTACACGCTTATAACACCTGTTACTTCTCTGATATCCATTCAGTGCAGCGATCACATGCTGAGGCATTAAGGAAGGCAATCTCCAATCACCATGCAGTATGGACCGCTATATCTTTGTTATATATCTGTGTTTCGCATATATTCTGTTAAATCTTCATTTTTTTTCCTTCCGTTTGTAATTTTTTTTTAAAAAAGAAAAGGCTGAGATTGATGGTTATTATTTTGGGTTATGAATGGCAGGCGGTAGAAGCTGGGGTCTTGTTAAAGCTTCAGTTCACTACCATTTTTGAGTATCTCCAGGTTAGCTTCCCTAATTATAATCCTTTGCCTTCTATAATTTTCAGGTTATGTACGTCTCAAATGAGCGTTCAAGGATGTACAGAGCTAGTGTTTGATGTTTGGTTTATTTTATAAATAAATTTATAATTTTTTATTTTTTTATTTTTATTTTATTTTTATTTTTTATTTTATTTTATTTTTTATGATATGTACCTGAAATATCTTAGATTTGCGTTTTTTTATTTAGAACTTGGAGGGAGGGAAAGGATGAGTTATGTTCATGTGCTCAGCACTTTGTCCCAGGTGTGCTACTTGGTGTCCGTGGATCTTCATTTTCTTTTTGTAATAATTGAATTTGCTGCCCACTGAACTGTGTGCCATGTTACACAGTCCCTTAGGTTGCAAACCAACATCCAGGCTTACTTTACGTCTTCTGGTTTGAAGATGATAGCTTAATTTGATAACTTTTATTAGTTGTGCAATACATTGGCGTGATAATGTACACGAACGTTGGTAGATTTGACTCATAACTTTTATTAATTTGGTACGGGGATTGAGTGTTTGGTCTATGATTCTACTTTGGATATTTCATTTCACGTCTGTTTGTGTCATTTGATAGACATTTTGAAGATTTGATTCTTAGCTCACAGGTTGGCCATAGAGCTTTATGAAGTGGCAATTTTTCCAAGTAGCAAGTTCTATTATTATTTTCTGCCATAAAATTAAGTAGCATCCAGTAATTGCCTACCTATTGTTGGCTCAGACATTCCTGCATAACTGAATTTGCTCATGTTTTTAAAACAGCTGCTGCAGATGATTGCGGGTGCACTCAGGGATCTTGGGCCACGTGTTATGTTCTATCTTGCTGCTGCTGTCTCAGATTTCTATGTCCCTTGGGAGAGCATGGTACCTACCAGTGTTATGAGCTATTAAAGTTTCTTTGTTGGTTATTGATCTTTGTAGTTAGCAATCTTCTTTGAAAAGTACATTACTGATGATAAAACTCATTGAATAGCCAATCTGAATTCCCACTTTTTTTTTTTTTTTAAATAAGTGTTTGCTATCTTTATTAAAACTTGACATATCTCCCCCACCCTATCATAAAAGGAGAAGAACATGCAAAAATATTTATACTACCCTTTTCATGGGCTGAAGGCTATTTGATCTCATATAATTGCTTAAATACTATTATCATTGATTAGACTTGGCACTTGGAGTAAGATTCCATGCATAGATAGTAGGAAAGAAACTAAAATTCCATTCTTTACTGTCCTGTTATTATAATTGTTCACATGTAGGAACTAGGAACTATAACCAAATATGAGATACTTAAGTAGATAACTGAAACAAATCAAATCACTTATATCCCCTTGGTACTAGTTCCATTATACAACATAACTTTAAAGCACATCCCGTTTGTCTGAGTCAAAGCATTTGTTGCTTTGTCTGTTGTGTGCATAAAGTCTTGAATGCAAAAGAAGTTTTGTAACAAATTTTTTATCACGGAGTATTTCCTTGTTTCATCCTTTGCTCAGCAAATTCAATTTGCAGGTAGAACATAAGATTCAGTCTGCGGCAGGACCCCTGGATTTGCGTCTTGCTCAAGTACCAAAGATGCTCTCTGTACTTAGAAAGGACTGGGCTCCTCTGGCATTTTTCATATCCTTTAAGGTTAGTCTTGTTTGCATATATTATACATTCAGCAAATATTATGTACTTCAGTAGTTTTTGCGAACTTGTCTGTCCAGTTTTGTGATAAGGGATAACATATTAGTGGCGGAAAGAAAATGATGTTAGACAAGTGGATTGTGGGGATACGTTGATTTTGGGTATGGGCAATTAGGTAGAAGAATTTGGATGTGCATAGGGCCGTCAATTGTCCTTCGCCTGTTTTAGTCTGAAAGTAGGAAGTTGGTAAGGCCATGTTAGTACTCTATGCTTGTTTTGGTGTGGATGTAGGAACTTCTATAGGACCATGTGACAAGTTATTTCTTCTATCTGACTGAAGTGTTTTCTAATAAGGTGATCAAGAGAACTTTACTTGTTGAGTATGTGACTCGAATTGTAGGCATTCCTCACTGCCCGATCGGGCAGCCCGTGCCCGGTCGGACCGGGCAGTGAGGATTGGAAGTCCGAAGGAAGCAGCCACCAAAGAACCCCCACGCGCCTGATCGGGCAGACCGTGCCCGGTCTGACCGGGCGGTGAGGGGTAGGTGTTGATGGATGGCAGCTCAAGGTTTTCCCCCACGCGCCCGATCGGGCAGGCCGTGCCCGGTCTGACCGGGCGGTGGGGGGTAGACTTCGCAGTGGTCTTGGTTAGTGTTATGCTTCTCGCGCCCGATTGGGCAGCCGGTGCCCAGTCTGACCGGGCGGAGAAGGTAAAGTACGGAGATGCGTTTTTCGCGGTTTGAAGTTATCTTTTATTTATTATCTTTTTGCCCAAGTATCTTTTAATTAGGGATTAATATAAAAATTCCCCAATATCAGTATTAGGGTTAAGAGAGACAGAGTGAGAGCCATTCAAGAGAGAGACTTGATTCATCTTTGTAATCTTTGCAGTTTATAGTGAAATCTTTGATCTTGGTGCTTGTGGACGTAGCTATCACATTGATAGTGAACCACGTTAATTCTTGGTGTGTTGTTCTTATTGTTTGCATTGAATTCCTTTATTGTTTTTCTTTATTGTTTTCGATCTTTGCTTCCGCTGTCGCACAAAACTTTACTTGACCCATATATTTTGGGACAATTGACATAGAACTAAGTACATAGAAATTCAAAACTAAAAAAAATAAAATTTAGGTGTGTACGACTTATGAGATACTCCGTAGAATAGTGTGTCAAGTTATTTCTTCTATCTGACTGAAGTGTTTTCTAAGGTGATCAAGAGAACTTTACTTGACCCATATATTTTGGGACAATTGACGTAGAACTAAGTACATAGAAATTCAAAACTAAAAAAAATAAAATTTAGGTATGTACGACTTATGAGATACTCCGTAGAATTAGTGTGTCAAGTTATTTCTTCTATCTGACTGAAGTGTTTTCTAAGGTGATCAAGAGAACTTTACTTGACCCATATATTTTGGGACAATTGACGTAGAACTAAGTACATAGAAATTCAAAACTAAAAAAAAAAAAAAATTTAGGTGTGTATGACTTATGAGATACTCCGTAGAATTAGTGTGTCAAGTTGAGACTTACCCAGAATTCGGAAATTGTTTAGATACATCAAACTTTTTTGCGAAGTGCTTGAGTTGTGCCACCAAGTTACATTGGTTGTGTGGGTCCTTTGGAAGGAAATCTTGCGAGATTACAAAGAGGGTTATGAATTATGACAAATTTTTGTTCCTAAAGTTGAATTGTGATAGATTGTGTGCTTGTTGATCATCATGGATATGACTATATGAAGACCGAGGTCAATTGGATGATTGGACCATGTTAGGGTGCTGTATTCTTTTTTTTTTTTTTTCTTTTTTTTTGCATTGATGTTTCTTCTTTAATGTTTGGAGAAAGTTTTCCTCCCCAAAAGCATTTTTATCTCATCAAAAAACTATGAGGCTTGCCACTACAGTATTTTAAGATCGATGATATGTGGTTTGTTTGTGCTAGGAATATCTAACAATTTTATAAATTGTCTTGTATGATATTCTGCTTTGTATAAGAAGCTTCTTGCATCTTACTGTTAGTAAGATGTTCAATATTTGGATTCTTAGGGAAAAATAAAAAGTTTGAATACTGAGCATTCTGATTCAATTCTTCTGTTTTAAGGCCTATTTTTTTGTTTTTCTTTCTGATACTCGAGCAGTTAGAAACAGATTCTCTGATTCTTTTGGACAAAGCCTCTTCAGCACTTAGTAAGTACAAGATGCATGCTGTGGTAGCAAATGAACTTGCTAATCGCAAAGAAGAGGTCACTGTTGTCACTCCTCACGGGAAAACTTGTATTCGGCGTGAGGCCTGGACTGACATAGAGATTCCACTAATTGAACTTCTTGCAGAGATGCATTCTGCCCATATTGAGGGTACCTTGCAAAGTTAAGCAGCATCATATCAATGATCATTGATATATATGCTAAATGCCGTCAATTTTCAGCTTTCAAATAATGTAACAATTTTTCCATCTGGTCATAAGCCATGACCTTTGAATATTGTTGTTGTACCGGAATAATTCTGATAGTCTTGTAATGAAAGTGTTTATCTATGAACACGATCCGTACTTTGTAAGGGCTAGTGCTAATATGTTGTTTGTGGTAGCATTTAGAAGAATAAAGCAAAGACGAAAGTACCATTATTCGTTAAAGAACGTACAATTCTATGTTTAATTGATAGAGAGAAGGCAAATTATAGGACTATCCTTTTACTTAAAATCCAAAGAATTATGCTAACGGAGACGTAAATTTAGTAGGATGAATGACAGTTATGGAATTAAACTCGATTTTCATGAAAAAAAAATAATAAATAAAGAAAGAAAAGTTGTACTGTATGAAGGTCTTGCAATCTTGCGTAATGGAATTTATGACTGCTTAAAATGAGAAAAATCTACTATGACTGTTCATCACAGAATTATCACAACTTGGTTACAGTAAGTAGTTACTAGTTGTATCTATGTACTACTTTTCAAGTCAACAAAAGTCAGCAAGTCACCACAAACAAAAAGTACACTTCAAAATAATTGCATTATCACGCATATAATTATTATCGACAACCACATAAATGAGGTAATCAAAGTCCCTCAATTCTTCATCCCACCATGGAGTTGTTTCAGTTTTCAATCTTCCTAATTTTACTTTCCATTTCCCTCTTTCAAACTGCAGAACCGCAGTTTTTCATTAACTGCGGTTCCTCTAACAACGCCACCACCACTGCCCGCCAGATATTTGTCGGGGACGAAAAAACAAACACTGTCCACCTCTCTGGCCATGGCAGCAAAACTGTCACAGACAGCAACCAGCCAGAAGCCTTATACCAAACTGCCAGAGTTTTTAAAAAACCAGCAAGCTATGACTTTGACATCCCACAAATTGGGACTTATTTTGTGCGCTTGCATTTCTGTGCTTTTGATTCTTCACTTGCTGCTGCAAAATTCAATGTTTCAGCATCAGGGCATTTGCTTTTCAGTCCTGCAGGAAAAACTGCTACAAATTGTTCAAGAAATTCCACGGAGTTTATCCTTAATATAAGTGATGTTAAAGAGAAGTTCAGAATTTACTTTGTGCCTAGTCCATCGTCTATAGCTTTTGTTAATGCTATAGAAATCTTCTTCACGTCTTCAAACATCACAGAGGATACAGGCCCTCATGTAACACCTGCAGGAAGCTTGAGAGATTACGAGGGTAATAAATCGAAAGTTCTCGAAACAATTTATAGGATTAATGTTGGGGGTGAAGAGGTTGAAGCATCAAGTTCCAGCCTTTGGAGAAGTTGGATGCCAGATGATCAGTACCTCATCAACAAGGGTGAAGCGCAAAATGCGGTTCCTAAGACCGATAGTGTTGGCTATGTTGCTGGTCAAGCCACCCATGATGATGCTCCACCAGAAGTGTATGGGACGGCGAAAAAACCTAAAAATTCTCTCAGTCCTAGCAACCTTACTTGGCGGTTCAGTGTGAACAAAGGCAAATACTTTGTTCGGGTGCATTTCTGTGATATCATAAATTCTTCGCCTGGTTCATATAAATTTAGCTTGTACATATATAGTAATTTCAATCAGGTGATAGATCAAACAGATATCATTGGATCAGTGCATCCTTTTTACAAGGATTATCTTGTTGAGCCAGATGATCTTGGATATCTGAACATTAGTGTAGGACCAAACAATGCGTCCGCAGATAGAAGTTATCTATTCCTGAATGGACTGGAAATTATGCAGGTGAAGAATGAAACTGTCGTAGAGCCCCGAATTGATGGTAGTCCGTCTCATCTAGTTCTTGTAGCCAGCTTGGTTGCATCCGCAGTAGCCATTCTAATTGTTCTAGCAGCTATTGCTTTCTGGCTTCAACAGAAAAAGAAGAGGAAAAAGTCTATTGAAGCATCCGAGTGGGTTCCCATGTATGGCGCATTCAGTTCTCACAACAGGAACTCAGACGGAACATCTTCCCATGCCTCCACTTTTCAGAACCTGCAGTTGGGTTTGAAGATACCCTTTGTTGAAATTCGGCAAATAACAAACAATTTTGAAGAGAATTTGATCATTGGTGAAGGCGGTTTTGGGAAGGTATACAAAGGAACACTGAGAAGTGGGCTCAAAGTTGCAGTGAAGCGAGGCAGTCCTGATCATGGCCAGGGAATGTCAGAATTCCAGACAGAGATTATGATTCTGTCAACAATTCGCCACCGGCATCTTGTTTCCTTAATTGGTTATTGTTATGAAAATGGTGAGATGATACTGGTTTATGAGTACATGGAAAAAGGGACTCTAAGATATCACCTCTATGAATCGGAGAACATTTCTGCTTCCTCTGCCAAAGGGACGCTGTCTTGGAAACAAAGGTTAGAAATCTGCATAGGGGCTGCCAAGGGTCTTCAGTACCTCCACACTGGTACAAACAAGGGAATCATTCATCGAGATGTCAAGTCGACTAATATACTGCTTGATGAAAATTATGTGGCTAAAGTTGCAGACTTTGGGCTATCAAGATCAGGATATCTGGAACAAACTCATGTCAGTATATCAGATGTGAAGGGAACTCTTGGCTACCTAGATCCGGAGTACATTATATGCCTGCAGCTGACAGAAAAATCTGATGTATATGCTTTCGGGGTGGTTCTTTGTGAAGTTCTTTGTGCAAGACCTGTTATAGATCAGTCACTTCCAAAAGAAAAATCAGTTTATCTGATTGGGCAACTGCTTGCTTTGAGGAGGGACATATTGAGAAGATAATCGATCCTTTAATTGCAAATGAAATCGAACCTAATTCCTTGAAGCAATTCTGTGAGACAGCTGAGAGGTGTTTGAAAAAAGATGCATCAGAAAGACCTCCAATGTCAGATGTATGTTGGAGTTTGGAATACACACTGCAACTTCAGAAAGCGGCTGCTGAAGGAGTGCTGTTAGATGATACCACCACAGATGTTTCCCTGAACATGCCATTACCTGCTGTTCAGCGTTTTCCTTCTCAGAACATAAGTGATTATGACCTTGAGCTATCCTACACTGGTACCGGAGAAGTATTCTCTCAGTTGACATCTGATGATGGGACTGGGAGATGATATGAAATTGATTTAGGTAGGATAAGTATTCTCTCAGTAAGTAGTAATTGTTACTGCTAAGTAAAAACAGCACTCTCAAGTTTTTTTTTTTTTTTTTAGTTCTTTTCGTGCTTGCTTCTGGTATTTTTGTGCAGACACATTGCTGTAATCTCATTTCAAGTTATCTTTCTAGAAATATAATGCTCACAACGTGTTCATAAAATTTGCTTTGCCACTAATTTATACAGTAGGGCTAGGACTTTAGATCAATGGGTTAGGTTCGTGATTGGTTTGATATGATCAAAATCTAATAAAAGTTACTACATTATGTGAAGTACGCTATAACTACTAGATATGATGAATGAATCATATTCAGGTTATTCGAGTCTGAGCCATGTTTCCGGTATCCTCTCATTAACATCAAGTCAGGTTCAATTTTGATCAGAGATTGCCAACTAGGATTGCCAGACATAAGAATTTCATTCCAAGTTTGAAGCTCACTGTCACAAGGATGGAAAGAGGCAAATAGTGAAAATTATGAACACATAATTACTTGCACTATCTGCTTTGCAGCATTAATAGTCAAATCTAGGCTGATAATAAATATGTTACACAAAAACTTGTACTGCATACATAGATTTGACACTTTCCCTTGCACATCCTATTCTAAGGCTGAAAGAAAAGAAGGGTCTGTAGCAGACACTTTTTGGGTCAAGGCATGGGGCCTGACCGTCGAGGAGGGAGTTAATGGCCTACCATGCTTTGTTGTTTTTATGAAAATGACAACCATCAAAGACTGGCGGCTAAAAGACCATCACACAATTCTTTAAAACATAGCAAGAAGAGAGTACTATACAACTATTCAAGTCAACTGAAGTCACCCAAGAAGCCAGTTTTTGGACACTTCTGCTACACTTGCATTTATTCTCAAATAATTACCACTCATAATGAAACTTCACCTCTCAGAGTAAGACGAATAGACGATCAAACTCTATCATCACATCATGATTTTGCTTGACTTCCGCAGTGCTGCTTCATTTCTCTCCATTTCCAATTGTTACTTTCCCTCCTCTTCTCCTCAATTTGCACTGCAGAGGACTACTTCATCAACTGTGGCTCCTCTGACAACGCCATCACCACTACCGGCCAAACATTTATCGGAGATAAACTATACAAATCAGCCCTCTCCCATCATAAAAGCTATACTGTTTCTTCAGAAGATCCGCCTGAACCCTTGTACCAGACAGCTAGAGTTTTCAAAAAATCATCAACCTGACTTTGTCATCCCACAAAATGGCACTTATTCTGTGCGCCTGCATTTCTGTCCCTTCTCTTCTTCACTTGCTGATGCAAATTTCCATGCCTCGGCATCAGGGCATTTGCTGCTAACTGATTCCAGTCTTGCAGGGAAAAATGCTAAAAATTGTTCTAGCAATACAAAGGAGTTCATCCTCAATATAAATGATGTTAAAGATAAGTTCAAAATTTACTTTGTGCCCACTTCATCGTCGTCTATAGCTTTTGTTAATGCTATAGAAATCGTCTTCTCTATTAATTCAAACATCACAGAAAATACAGGCCCTCATGTAACACCTGCAGGAAGCTTGGGAAATTACAATAGTCAGCAATCGAAAGTTCTCGAAACACTCTACAGGATTAATGTTGGGGGTACAAAGATTAATGGATCAAGTTCCACCCTTTGGAGAAGTTGGACGCCAGATGATCAGTATCTCATCAACAAGGGTGATGCAGAGAATAAAACTAAAGGGACTATTGACAACGGTCCGGGTCCAACAACCATGGATTTTGCTCCATTGGATGTTTATGAGACAGCAAAAAAATTGAAAAATTCTTTTAGTTCTGGAATAATTCCCAACCTTACTTGGCAGTTCAGAACAAACGAAGGCAATCGGTACTTTATTCGGGTTCATTTCTGTGACATTTTAAGCCCTTCTACAGGCAATTATATATTTAACCTTTACATATATAGTAATTTAAGTTGGGTGATAGATACGTCGAAAACCAGACCGCCTCCT